CCACAATACAATGTATCCCAAAAACAAAACATTACACTTTGACCAATATTTTCACACATCACATAAAAAACACGTTGCTTCAACCAAATTCAGAATCAAAGGGGGGGGGAAAAACACATAGGAACAGGATAGAAGAAAAAACTGCCGTCTAGCGTTTAAAAAAAAAAAAAAAAAAGCCCCATCAAGTGCTTGTTTTACGAACAAAAACAATGACAATATTGGCTGGAACAATGATGTTAACGATAGTTATCACAGACTAGCAATTAACTTACAATCTGCAGATATCAGCAAAGTTTGCAAAGGACGTTTTCCTCGTTCCGACCCTAAGAACTTGTGGAGGCCTCATTACGAACTTCTTCTTCTCCCCAGCCATGATGTCAGGGTTCTTTTCACGCATGATTTCAAACACTCTGGTCAGCAGCTGGTGATGAAAAATTGAAGAAGTTAGAAACCTGAGATCTACATAATAAACAATAAAAACGATGTACACAATAATGGGAAACCCAGTATTACTTTTTTTTACAAGATACTACACATCTTTCCGGAAACAATTACAAATAATTTTGAGAGAATGTTTCATATTCATCAAGTAAAACACTGGAAAAAAATAATAATTTTTTAAACATTCAGTCATGTAAGAAAAAAATTGTAGATTTAGTCCATTCAGAAAGGAAAATAGTAACCCGCAATGATTCTTTAAGATGGAAATGAAAAGATTTCACATTAGTTTACAAGGCTGTATAACATAAGTCAAGGGAAATAAACCACCCACACTCCGCTAACCATAAAATTTAGGAAGCTCCCAGGGAAGAACAAAAAGACACTAGTCTATTCAGCTCTCCATCGCTTTGTCTACAACTCTCCTTCGGCTTCACAACAGATTCTGATATTTTACCATCTTCACTTAAATTCAATGCAACCTAATATCCCCTCTCTCCCCTTCATATAATTTCTCAAATTAACATACCTCATCATATGTGTAGTCTCTGTCTGAGCCAAGCCACAAACCACCAGAGCTTTCATCTCCCATTAGTCCTTGATCATCTGAAGAGCAAAACCACAGCACAAAGCTTAAAATTAGGAAAAATTCTGATGCCTACATTAATTGGTTGTAGCACCAGGGGTGAAACGGTTACATCCTTTGCATTAAACACATAAGACCTGGGTTCAATTCTTTATTGGCAAAGAGACATTAAATAACATCTTTATCTAATCAGGAGTATCCAACACAAAACAGGAAGGCATTGACAGATGGGGTCAAAACAGCCTGACTTAAATTATTTAATTGCTGTAGAGGGAGCTTTAAACACTTCTAAATGACAGAACACTTTCACTATTGCCTTTGTCAGTAATTGATCTTCTTTTAAAATCAACAATCACAAACAAGCCCACTTAACTGAGCTCTGTGAGATTCGCCTCTTTTAGTGGGGGGGGGGGGGGGGTTCGAATGGATCACACAGTTAGTTTGGTGGTCGGATAAAGGGTATTGTATTTGGCGTGTTGTGGGGGGGGAATTGTTTTACGACGCTAGCAACTGCATAAGGTCATATGAGCCCACGGGACACATTAAACATTTTCAATTGGTAGGAAATTTTTTATTTTGCACTGGTGGTGGCCAAGGCCTAATTCTTATCAATTTTAGACCACCAAAGGATCTTTAACGTGTGCAACTTCCACACTGGACCTCTGAGATTTTTCGCCCTTGTCCGAGAAGGCTAGGTTTAGATCTTTCCTACCAGAAGATCAGGGGTGTGGCTGAAAGACAACAGTAAGAAGGAGCCATGGAGCAGGGGTAGAAAGACTGCAGAAAGAGTCAGGGGCCCAGATGAGGGGGCAAAGGAGGTGAGGGCAGAAAGAGGAGACAAAAGCAGACGACAGAATATTGCTAGAGAGCAGGAAAGATAGCGAAAGGAGACAATTTTAGAGAAGAAAATATTTCAGTCGCTACCCGGATTCGAACCCGCGACCTTTGAATGAGAGGCGAACACCTTAACCTCTAGGCCACAAGAGCCCCCAGATTAGACATTAGGAACAGGCAATGAGACGATTATTTGTAGCAAGTCTGACTTTTGAATCACCACCGGATGGAGGTATGAGCTTCAACTACACTTTTTGTCTGGATCTTCAGCTCATTTCATACCAGAAGCCAGGACATTTTACCCTGTTACTTATCATTCCTTTGAGCCCTTGTTTGTTTTTGTAAGAGTTTTATGGCACTTTCAACACAATTTGGTCATACAAAAGCAAAAGATTAAAGGTGTTACAAGAACACAAAAAAGAAAAGAGGATAGATAAGGACGATAGATGTTTGATAAAAAAGAAGGAGCAAACCACACCAGAGCACCCGCCAACCACCCACCTTTGAATACTTTCCACCCCAACACTACAGGTCCTGTGCACCTAGGCTCCTTACCATTGACCACCTGAAATACCCAGTCACACACTCAAACATGCATTATTTCCATAGGAATGTAAAGGGATTAATCAAGCTCAGGTCGACTGGGTCAAAGAATTTTGTTGAAAGATGAATAGAAACAATCCCTAATAGATAATTGGTCTTCAGCAACTCAAGCTGAGCAAAATAAAGAAAAGGAGCCAACAGTCATCAAGTACTCACCATTGTCATCTGCTTGAGCATCATCTGCTCCTCCATCGAGGGTTACTGGCTTCTTCTTCTTCTTCTTTTTCTTGGTGAAGTCAAGATCTTCTAAGTCATCATCAAGAGTGGCTGTGGTTGTTTGATTTGCTTCAGAATCTGCTGTATCCTGTGAGAGAGGAAGAACACACATTTTTTAGAGCACAGTCAAACAACAGTCCTTAGAAACACTCCACCTGTGCACAAATGACTCCACAACAAAACAAAGCATGACCACCTGATGCAATATCTCATTTCTCTTTTCTGTAACACGCTTGTCTGCTTGACAGTTAATTTCAATCATATTAGACCAAAGTAGTTTATAAGCAAAAATGTGTTGAAAACTTACATTTTGCCATGCCTCGCAAGCCTGTGCTCCCCTATCGGTAGCAGTTCAAGCAGTGTCATGCAATTCAACAAATTTTTATGCAAATATTAGCCTTCAGGATCCAAAGTAATGAAGACATTGAAAAAGTGATAGTAGAACTAGATTCTGCACTAAAAATCACATGAAGATGCAAAGTTTCATTCATATGCTCTAATTCATTACTGACTTATGAACAATTTTCCCTCACTCAAAATACATCAAGAAAAGTCCCACTTCTTGGCTATATTTTCCTACGTCCCCGAAAATTTTGCAGCAAAAAATCCCAATGACTTTTTAGATTAAAAATGGATTTTTAAAACAAACAAAAAACCCCAGTTTTTAGAATATACTACTCTCTCATTTCATTTAACCTTGTTTGAAAAACTTTGGATACAAATTTAATTTTTTATCATCATTGCTACACATTTCCCCTAATGGTTACAAATATTTGCCTTTCAACTTCACTTACAGGCAATGCATCACCAATCTCCTCCAGATCAAAGGTCTTTTTCTTCTTCTTCTTTTTTTTCATGTTTGTGAAGTCAAGGGAGATATCTGAAAGCAGAGAAAAATGTGAAAATACTACTACTAAAATTTCTGGGCAACATGAAAGAATAATAGGTATGTATAGTGTATTTAATAAGTAACACGGAGTTCGCAATTCATGACGAAATTTCCAGGCAATATCTACTGAACAAAGAATATTTTCAATGTTTACATGATATAAGAGCCATTGCCAAAATGTGGGGAAAAACACATACATCTCACATTAGTGTGCATAAAATGTGATGCATTAGTATTTATTCCTCCAAAACTTATACACATGTCAAATATAGGATGTAGAACCTGCATTAGCAGTTTCAGACCCCATGTCAGCTTTATAATCTTGAGTTTGTAAATTTTGTGCCAAAAATGTTCGTTTTTTAGTGATTCCTGGAGTGTCATTTTGAGCACACCAATGCAAACTTCCAAGAATGTCCAAAATTTAGTATTTTTGAGTGTTGTTTTTTTTACGTGTTCTTTGATCCTATGCTATTTGTCATCGAGAAAGGTTAACTTGCTCAAGAAATCGGTTTATTTGTTTGCAAATAAACTAACAATTCGGATCACTTCAAAAGCCGCGATGCGCGAAAGGAACATCAGGTTCCTAGATCTACGATTTCGGTCGACTGTTTAACATTCGCTGTGATTGTCGTCAATTTGCGACGTGCCGGAAGTCCGAATTTCTCCCACTTTTGTTTTGAACGGATCATCAACAGTGCCCGGATATAATTGTTTTCTTGAGTGACTTCCCCTTACCCGCTTCCCCAGAACAACGGAAGCAACGGGGGAAACAGAAAAACGAAAGTAGTCATTGTCTTCAGCGTCCGGTGACGCACAAGAATTTTGCGTTGAATGTGACGTACTGGACTGTTTTGCGCATTTTTAGGCTACTCTGTTGAATATTTTAGTGAAATTGCGGTGTTTACACTGGATTCCTGGAACAAGAGTGTGATGTGTGAACAAACTTCGAGAGATGGATCATTTCTGTGGTTATAGATTTAGATTTTGTGCTTAGTGATGACGTTTGGGGTGTCGTCATGCAGCCGCACAAGACTGACTGACGTACTAGAAATTACATTGTCCTAAGAGCAAACATTTTTTAGGTAATGTGTGCTCTCTTTACTCAAACAAATAAACAAACATGTCCTTGTTATCAGTCTAACTCAAAAATACACATTTGTTCTTTGTTGGTATGATATACCTTTTTCCAATACATTGTGTCATTGTGTCATCATTGTTATGTACAAGAAATATTTGTCATCATTGCTAATATCAATAAGTTTTCAACATATATTTCATATGAAAGATTCATTTAGAAGCAAAATACACCTTTATTGATCTGTGTATCTCTTAGTATGCAAATTTGTTCTTTGTAGGCATGATTTTATCTTTTCCCAGTATGTTTTGTCATCACTGTTATGTACGAGTACTGTTTGTCATAATTAGCAAAATAATTGTGATCGTCCACTGTCTTTGATATGACCTGATATCTGTTTCAAAGCAAAAGAAACCTCACCTGGGTTTTTTTTTAATTCTTAAAGTGCGCATTTCTCTCTGGAGGCATGACTTTGTCTTTTCCTGTGTCATCATTGTTACGTACAAGTCATGTTTGTCATCACTGTTATGTACAGGTCAGCTCCATTGATTTTGTGCTTTTGCCTCATATAAGTTTTAAAATTGTTTTACACATGTGTTTTTCTGGTACTGAGGCTTTGATAACTGTATTTGTACAGCCTTTCACTATTGTGATGTGTTGTCAATGATAATGTCCAATGTGTATCTTTTCTTGTACATTGTACATAACAATGATGACATGTTCTGAGCACTGTGTCATTGTTACAAAGCTTGTCATTCATATTACCATTATGAATGGAGTTCATAGTGTACAAAGTCTTTGGTTACTAAACAAATGGAATTTAAAGTCCATAATTTGCCTTGCTGCTTATCTGTTTTTGTCATCACTGTTACATACAAGAAATACAGTAGTTGCCAAACCAATAGACCCATATCTCCAAAACCGTACATCTCCTTGCTCTGACACTCTAGGAATATGAGCACTAAGTGTCAATCTGTGACTGACAGAAAAGAGAGTCAAATTGGTAAGAAAAAAATTTTTGCACCACTGAGTCTCAAGAGAGTCTCACGTTTTGGCATTTGCTCATAAACCACTCTTGTCCTATTACATAAGGGACAGGATGTTGGGTATCAATCCCATTTTGCATATCCCCAATGGCAACATAACCTCACAAAGGGTGGAAAAATTCAGGCTATAGAGATAAGATTTGAACAGTATGCCAGACCTGCCACTCTATGAAACCTCAAAATCAGGATCTCAGGGAGAAAAAATCGGGATTTGGTGAAAAAAATCGGGACCAACAGCAAATCACCAAGGTGACTGCGAAAGCTACTTAATATTTTTCCACGGGTGTCCATAAATTACTTGGCATATATGCACTCTGAGTGTCTTTGTTTGTTTGTGTGTGCGCGTGCGCGTGCGTGTGTGTGTGTGTGTGTGTGTGCGTGCGAGTTATTAATTTTTGTAAATCCTGAAGCATCCCTTCAAGCACTCCTAGTCCAAGTGTCTATACTCCCCCCCCCCCCCCCTCCACCCCACCAATAAGTCCAGAAATACATGAACTTAAGTTGACCCCATCAACGGACGGTCCCCGACACACAGAACTCACACGGCGATGATGTGTCACGTGACACGAATGCGCAATTAAAACAATTTTACTTACGGGTCCGACTAACTGTGCGTTCACTCAAAACACTCAGATGAGCGACAGTCGTTCTACTTCTAGTACTCTAGGATAACGAAGGAGGCCGACCGACCAATTGTACCAACAAATCTCTTATCCCTTATAATGCGTTCAGACTAAAGCAACGACAACGGCCAAATGCTAGTCTTGTCAGCGCAGTTACATGTAGTTGTGTAAGGGTCGCTCGTCCGAGTGTTTGATGTGAACGCGCAGTTACCAGACCCCGGACAAGGCTTGTTTTGAAAGTAACAGTGAAACTACGAATATTCTCGATTATTTGTATGTCCCAAATTGTAACAGTTACCAGGCTATCATCGGAGAATTTTGAGTGTGGGCAAAGATCCCACACAACTTGGGGCGAGTCAACTACTTAATGCGGCATCGATATTTCGGGAAATAGTGCTCCGAGTTCCTACTGACAAAAAGGTCAACGGGTGCTTCCCGCGATAAAGGAGAAGGCAGAGTAAGTTTTTAGAAAAATACAGCAGAACAGCAGACTGGGACAAAAAATCGGGATACAAGCGATCGAAATCAGGAAAATCGGGATGCTTGAGATTTGGGGTAAAAAATCGGGATATCCCGACTAAATCGGGATGAGTGGCAGGTCTGAGTATGCACAAAAATGAACTTCATTCTTTGCTCTCACCATCAGAGACTTTATCCTGTGCAGTCTGAACTTCCTGCTCTGGTTCTGGTTCCTCCTCTTGAACTGGTGGCGCGGGGGCAGAGGGCTGGCCATCAGCAGCCCCACTGTCTTCTCCCATGGCAGCATCCAAGTCAAAGCCTGTCTTCTTCTTCTTTTTCTTCTTCTTCATAGTGGGGTCAAAAGGCAGCTGAAAGGACAAAAGGTTGAGTCAGAAGGACAACTAATGTAATACAAAAGCCTTATGACTTTTGATACAAAACTACGGTGAAGTTTTACTTTCACTTCTACACATGGATGCACTGCTTTGGAGGTCAAACTGCAGTAATTTTTGCAACAGATCACACACACACACACACACATATATATATATATATATATATATGGCCACTTACACAGTCGCAAATCAATTATTTTCAAGAAAATTTCAAACCTAATTGCACAACAACAAGGCATCTCCCGTGTAGTATTTTTTTTCAGCAGATCACACACTACTCAAACTGTCGCAAATCAATTATTTTCAAGAAAATTTCAAACCTAAATGCAAAACATCAAATTATGGGTCAAAGCAGGGGGGTCTGCCCCCCCACCCATGAAACCCCCCAGATTCCTAAGACTACTTACCCAGTGAGGGTCTCTCTTTTGTTAACGAGGTGGTGGTATTGGATACCAGGGGGAGGGGCATGTTGAGATCATGCGAGTTATTGATACGAGGGCTTGAGATGGCCAGATTTTGAAAACATTTTATTTGTGAACGATTAAAAATGTGAATGAGAGAACATGGCTCCAAACTCCAAAGTATAGAGATGTTACGGCAATTCTAATTCTACGCAAGTGAATGTTACGGCAATTCTTTTAATCAGCCGTGATTGTTTGAGTTTGTCCTTTTCTTTCTCAACTTGTGTTCAGGGATGAAAACTGATCAGTCCAAAATTTACTGAACTTTTCACGGGCTTACAGATTTTAAAAAATAAATTCGAATGTAGATTAGCACACATAGTAGAACAGTAGAATGACTCATTATTGAAAGTTGGTAGACAAGGCAAATTAAAAATAGAGATTACCGTAAATTTACTGAAACTGAAAATTCCCATCTGCCCTGTGTGTTGTTGACATTGATGATAATTATTCAAATTCAGTATAAATCTGTAGGCCAAAAATATTTTTTTTAAAGGAAAGTATGCATTTGGCAATATTATTTATTATACCCCCAAAAAAAAGTTTATATTCGCACCTTTCAATCAGTACTTCAATATTCAACAGACCTACATTCAGATCAAGTTTATTCTTACTTAGAATCTATTTATAATCTTCACTGCTGTTTGTCCCTTGGCTGCGTCTATTGGGACACATGTCCATTTTAGGTCCCATGTCCGACACGTGTGTCCTTCTACTCTAGATTCTAGCATGAAGGCGAGAACACCATACTATGGGGACTCTCGTGGCCTAGAGAGGTGTTCGCCTCTTATTCAAAGGTCCTGGGTTCGAAACCCGGGTGGCGACTGAAAAATTTTCTTCTCTAAAATTGTCTCCTTTCACCTTCTTTCCTTCTCTCTTGCAATATTCTGTTGTCTGCTTTCGTCTCAACTTTCTTCCCCCACCCCCTCACCCTCTTTGCCCCCTCCACTGGGCTCCTGACTCTTTCTGCAGCCTTTCTATTGTTACTCCTTGCTGTCTTTCAGCCACACCCCTGATCTTCTGGTAGGAAAGATCTACACCTAGCCTTCTCAGACAAGGGTGAAAAATCTCGGAGGCCATATGTGTGCAAGTTGCGCATGTTAAAGATCCCTTGGTGGTTCAAAATCGATAAGATAAGCTTTGGCGGCGATTTACTAGTTTCGTTCGTTAAAGTCAAGAGTAGGGGGATTTCAGGGAGGCTTGCCCCCTGACCAAATAAAAATATGGAGGTGGGGGGATTCAGGGGGGGCATGCCCCGCTGAATTTTATCTTAACTTGATGTTTTCAGTTAGGTTGCACCCCTACTCTTTGTGTGGCCTATTTCAAATAGTATTTGGCCATCAAGACTTCTGGATTTCTTCTCTGGATGTAGACCTAAACAAAAGGATCGTGGATTTTAACAAACGGAACTACAAGCTCACTGCTTTGGCCACCATCCTGGCAAAAGTCAAAATATCCTACCAATTGAAAATGTTTGTTGTGTCCTGTGTGCTCATTTGACATTATGCAGCTGGGAGCGTTGTAAAACACTTACTAAAAAAAAACACCATTCATGATTCAATACATTGTGACTGTGGATATCTTTTTGGACCAAGACCAATCATCCAATGTAGCAATGACAATGAAAAATTAAATTTTCTTCCAAATTGCTTTAAAACGGGCTTAAATGAAAATAGAGTAAATTCTAAGAACTATGGTTCTTAAATTTTTAAAATCTAAATGTTGATAAATAAAAAAGTTATTGGGATTTTTGTTTGCAAAATGGAGGACCTTCATACAGGAAAATATCGCCAAAATGTGGGACATGTCTTGATGCATTTGACATCGTTTTTACCGCGACGCGACCACCCCTTCTCATAACTTAGTAAAGCGCTATCAGGAAAACCTGCGATTAAGTCATCGGTGACCTATTTAGTTATAGGCAGCCAATCACATGCCGCCTAGCGATCACGCGCCTCTTGCATGCTGGAACCTTGCGTTTGGAATGTGTGATCTAGTTTCCAGCTCCAGTGTTTTATCAATGGATGGGTGGTAATTTTACAGCTAGCTATAAAGAAGACATGTGAGGCGCCTGTGTGATCGGCGATCAACCCGCAGCTCCGCTTAGTTTTCAAACCGTAGAGGAAATTCACACAAACACGGCAGTATCTCCAGTTCTAGAAATCGTTCGGGATTGTACGCTGGCAAGTCGTTAGACGGTTAGTTTTTATTTAATCTTTCCTCTGATTGGGTGCCGAGTTTCATTTATTTTCGTCCACGAGTTTTCCCGTAACTATACTTAGAAGAGAGTCACTTCTGATTCCGAGTGGCCCAAAAATTACCCCTCGCACGGAGGCCGTTTCCGGCCCAAGGCGCAGCGGGAGTTTGGCATTGCTATCCAATGCATGTGTTGCAGTTTGCATAAAATTGTTGTGAAAGGGAAAATGCGCGATCAGTGTGGGAGGGTGCTGAAAATCACCAAACTCTACACACCGGAAGTAACCGGGGGAGGGGGGGGGCTGAGGCTCCACAGGATTTTGTGTCCCAGAAGTCACACCGTATCCTTTTGACAGGTGGTCAATCTGCTTTGGAAGAGGCTAGGCGTACTTAATGACGGCTGGACTGGCAGTCGGCTAGACTGGTTGGCTAGCCGTACTTATTCTAGATACATATGATGGCTAGACTGACCATTTTTTTAAAGGCCACCTCTATTCTCACCCCGGATGAGAATAGTGCAGGCGAGTCTTTTGGCTATTCTCACCCGGTGCGCGTTCACCGTTATATGGCAGTCTAGCCGTACTTAAGTACGGGTAGTCAGCCAGGCTAGCCGTACTTAAGGACGGCTAGACTGTCAGGCTAGCCGTACTTGATTGTCTTGATATTGATGGCTGAATTGTAAATGAAATTTTTAGTTTGCAATGCCTAACGTAGTATTTGTATTTCAGACAAAACCCCAAAAAGGTGCCTTACCGACTTACATGTATTTGAACCTGAATAATTACTAAGCTAGATATCTAGATTTTTAGATCTAGAATCTAGATCTAGATCTAGATCTAATGAGACCTGTGTACTTAACAGGCTTGAGTCGATAGGGCCAAACCTAGATCTAAGAAGTACGGCTAGACTGCCAGTCTAGTACGGCTAGACTCTCGTCTCAGTCTAGCCGTAACCTAAGTGTCCTAAGTACGGCAGTACGGCTAGCCACTTCGATCTGCTTTAGTTTTAGCCTGTAGATCTAGATCTAATTCATGGTAGCCTACTGTCCTACAATTACAATGAAAACTGTACAAAGCTGCTGACTGAAATATGAACAAATGATGCAACTGCAATATCAAATCATCATCATGCAATAGTATGCAATCCATCTTACTCAGTTAGATCTATTCTGACTCTTTCTTCTGTATTCTGTATGCATCCAATCGGGACCATGCAAGCAATGCCAATGACAATGCCACAATATCAAGTCAATAGATCTAACTAATCAACGTTTAGATCCAGACTACCTAAAATTGAAAGAAAACCAGTAGATTAGTTCATTCTGGTGGAAAGTTAAATTACTTTTGATGAGCGTCAAAGAGGGCCGATGAGTTCAATGACAAGAATTTAGAGTGAGTTGGTGTAGGCTTGAGAATGAGAATATGGACCAATTCAACAAATAATCTGCAGGCAAGTTACAACACTAAAGGATTCTTGAATACTGTAGTACATACAAGATCTTCGTCCGCCATCGTGGTTGAAATATCTGTACCGTAGAATGTAACTTTCTTCGACGTGAAGGCAGTCAAAAACTCAAATTTGTTTCTGAACTGAGCAGATTGTGGATTCCCTACACTCAACACGCTTGAGGCAGCCAAAATCTTGCATCAGACCGGTTTCACTTCCGGTTGTAAGGTAACTAAACTTGACTAGAAAAAGAGTTCTAGATCTATTGCTTCCCATCTTCCCATAAAGAGTGGCTGTGAAGGCCTATCGGTAGCTCTTCCAACAATTTCGTTGTTTCTTGTCAAAGGAATTTTTCAAGGTTTTGGTCACCAAGAAATATGTCCTGACATTTATAGCAACGCAGTTTGCGGAAAAACTTCAGACTATATGTATCTGATCAGCTTTATAAATAACTAGCCAATAATATGTCCAGGGGTCGTTCTTCTCCTGGCCCCAGGGCAAATAAAACACGCGAAAAGCAATTCTCATTATTATTACATCATTCACTTTATGAGAAGGAAAAAATGTCTCATTTTCCTCCACCTCCTTAATTAACAAGAGGGGTAGATATCGGTTAAAACTTATATATATATATATATATATATATATAGAGAGAGAGAGAGAGAGAGAGAGAGAGAGAGAGAGAGAGAGAGAGAGAGAGAGAGAGAGAGGCCGGGGGCACATATGTTCAGGTGTGCAAACATGCGCGCGCGCGCACACACACACACACACACACACACACACACACACACACACACACACACACACACACACACACACACACTAATTGTGTCGAAGAGCGCGTAAAACATTTTGCCTACAAATAGCAGAAGAGGTACGTACGCATGATGAAAGCACGTCATTTTTTAAAAATTGATTTTTAATAGCATTTCGTTGTATTTTTCCTTTAATCTTCAGTCTTCATAGTTTATTTTCTGTTAAACAAGACTGTATCTATAGGAAGTAATTATCCTCTACGTACAAGAAAATGTTTATGCTGATTTTCTGTCACATAGGTATAGCTCTGGTTGGAGAAATCAATATATTAGAGCGTAAAATTAATTGGAAATCATTCTACCCCTTGAATCAGCCGCTCCACTTGGCTGGACCATCGAGCAGGAGTCAGCCCAAGGTCGAAGTACATGTATACGCAGCAAATTGTAATAGGCCTACTATCTCGATAGTGTCTTTTTAACATTGTTGTTTAAACATCGAAACACAAGCGTGTGGAACTTTTGCTGATATTGTGATACTAACTATAGCCAACAATAAGTTTGCTGTGTTGATACCCAGTTGAGACGTCAGTTGTCTAGCGGTTAGGGCACCATCAGACGTTAAATTCGGAGGTCCCGCCTCATTACAGTGTTGCAGGGGGCTTTAAACTCTAAACTTAGAGACAGTTTCGCACATTAATTGATATCGAGTCAACGATGGAAAAAAACCAAAACCTTGTTTTAAAAAAAATTAAAACAAAAAAACAAATAACAAAAAAAAATCGATATCTAGGATTTGGGTAAACTGGTCATCCAGCCTTTTCATGAGTGGGGGTGCCACTGACAGTGACAGGTCCTACAGCTTCTTCACTTTTTTACTAGTAGTCTGTCTATCAACTTTACTTTCCCCTTTAGGTTTATCAAATGACGGTTTTTCCTTTATGCTTCTGTATTACCCTCTCTACTTTACAAAAAAAACAAAAACAGAAATTTTCTTGAGTTAAAAATACGCTGGGACTGTCGCTTTTCGAAATTTAATAACTATAACATAAATATGTATCGTTCCTCTTAAATAACCGTAGGCCTGTATGGAAGTGAAAGGTTTATTCATCCGTAACATAGCTAACTACCTCTCACTCTTAATAAAATAGCATGTACCGGTACCCAAATTCCAAATATCCAAGCATTATTCTTAACTCGTTCCGACGGTTCGGTAGATATCTAGATCTACATATTATTGTATTAACCAGAACGGCGAAAATTGCCCCAAACAGTAAAACAAGTCTAAAAATAGCTGACTTTTTTTGTCATTTGAGTCTCTTTAATGACTAGAATATTCTGTCCGCGAATTAATAAATAAAAACTTCATAATATTTTGTTTTTAAAAGTGTCTTAATGTTAGAACGTGTGTTTAACACTTTCTAGAAATTGATGTAGAATGACGAAAGGGAATTTTGTACTCTTTTCAACTGTACCAAAGAGCAAAATTATGAAATGTATACCCAGTGGACCAAACCGCCTGGACTCGTCTCGTATTATAATAATGCACCAGAGAGTGCATGCATGTATGCACACAACCTCACAAGGGTGTATAAATCGTTGTTAATAGCTTTGATACTGCGAATTCAATTGATAGCCTCCCCTGGCATACCAAAAAGCGCGCTATTGTGTCGCGAGTAGCCTGAGAACTAGAAGAGAGGGGCTCTGTCAAAAACTGCCAATATTGTGACGTTGTACATGTTAATGGTCGTCCGGATCGTTATTGATGTTCTTCTTTATCTTTCGATAGTGATGACCGATCGTTTCAGCGTTGGGGAACGATGGAAGTCAACGCAACAATCGCTCAAAACAAAAACCAAAAAAAATAATAAAGATGATTATAATTATCTGACACTGATAATGATAAGATGAATTTATTGTAAGCGTTTTAAAAAATATATATTATAACAGTTTCTTTATTTAATGCATTGCTTTGTATACCACAACTGTGTAACTTCAACATTCTGAAACAAAATGTGTATTGCCTGCAATCAAGGTAGAATTTAACTGGCCACTCATAATTTGTTGATGTTGAGTGTAGTCAGTAATAGGCCTAGGCTACTATCTCTGTCCTCGATGCCGGGAAACTCTCCAGCTACCACTGGATGACCACGGTGTTTTAGCACACGACGAGTTATTCCAACGATCATTGTCTTGTTGTTGGCGCTGAGACATAGCTAATGTTTTCTCATTTAGTATCATTGGGGGCCCCAGGAATATTGACAACC